TGTGTGACACCAGATAGTACAGAATACAAACTGTGAATAATGGTGTGTGACACCAGATAGTACAGAATACAAACTGTGAATAATGGTGTGTGACACCAGATAGTACAGAATACAAACTGTGAATAATGGTGTGTGACACCAGATAGTACAGAATACAAACTGTGAATAATGGTGTGTGACACCAGATGGTACAGAATACAAACTGTGAATAATGGTGTGTGACACCAGATAGTACAGAATACAAACTGTGGAGAAGGGTATTTTGGTTTGATGAGTTAAAGTTTAATATTGATAGAGATGTGGATTGTGTCCAATACAAGCACGTGCATGCTGTTCCTTCTGGACGTTGTTTAGTGAGAGAACACAGTAAAACATTATCTTGACAGATGAAACCTTTAGTTGCTTAGTGTGGTCTCCAGACATTAATATTGTTGAGTGTGTGTGGAACTACCTAATGGAAACCAAAGTACTTGAAGACACATCAAATTCAGTATTCTCTGAGTTTGTCCAAAAGCTTGAAATAAAGTATTCCACATGAGATTCAGGCAGTGATTTCTGTTGAGAAAGAAACCCTCAATTTGCTTTATATGTGTTTGTTTTGCCTTCAGACAGCATGAAATTCTGAAATATTAATAAAAGAGTAGCAATCAAATAATGCACAGATGTGATAACCAAACAGTAAGCTACAAAAAAATGTGATAAAATCATTACACATTTTACAAAAATCACAACATTAAAGATATATATCTGTATTTATATTGTACATAAATTAATCATTACCATGTATTTTAAATACAACAGATGCTGAGTTTCTTTTAAATTAGTGTAAATAATTTTCTGTATTTATGGTGGATGGTAGAGACATACGAAGCATTGCTAAATTTTTGTGATTTGTTCTTTGTGTAGACTAATACAGGTCGTTTTTCTTCGCATCAGTCTCCTTTACCTTCAAGCAACCACACGCCAAATCCCAATTGTCATTTCTCTCAGCCTTCTCCAGTACAGCCGAGAAGCTGCAATGGAACTGCGAAAGATGGGATCGCTTCACCTCGTTCCCCGACCCCTTCGCCTGCTGGGAGTGTAGCCTCAGTCGGTTCTCAGAGCAGTGGCTACATCAGTTGTGAAGTGAACTGTGTTGGAGCTGCTGGGTCCCAAACTCGCTCAGTTAGTGCAGTTGCTACACCATTGTCAGTGTCGAGCCATGCTGGTCCTTCACGGCCTTCTGGCAGTAGTTTGACTTCTGTCAGCGTTCCCCAGCACTTGTACATTTTGCTACAGAAACAAAACACGCATCTGACAAATCTTCACATGTGTCATGAACTGTGGGAACAGGCACATTATCTTATTGTCCACTGTAACTCACAAGGTAGGTGTTGATGGAAAAATTAATAGTTATGAAACAAATGAGTAAAGAATAAAAGTTTTCAAGTATCACTCTCAAGTGATGGTTTGTGAGACGACAGTAGGAAACAGGAATTTTAAGTATCACTCTCAAGTGATGGTTTGTGAGACGACAGTAGGAAACAGGAATTTTAAGTATCACTAAAGTGATGGTTTGTGAGACGACAGGTAGGAAACGAAGGAAGTTTTAAAGTATCACTCTAAAGTAGATGGTTTAGTA